TCACCCCCCCCAAAAAAAAAAAAAAAAAACTAAAACCTCGAGTTATTATTATTATTATTATTATTATTATTTTTTAACTCAGGGGTCGTTTTTTTTTTTTTATTTTATTTTATTTTAAACGCGAACCTATACTCGTAAAGGTTTTTTAAAATTTTTAACCTTCTTATTCGTTTGCCAGGTACGTTAAAAAAAAAAAATAAAAAAACGATGACGATGAAACAAGGTTGCCAAATTTACGCGTTCGCTTTATTAAAAAACAATAACATTTAATCGAACGCGAGAATCGATCGATCGATCGATCGATTGATGAGTGTTTTGTTAATTAATTAACGTTATTGATATGATCGTGAAAATTTTTCGCGCCTTTTTTTTTTTTTTAAATTCAAATTTTGAATAATAGTTACGTGAATTGTTTTCGTCGTAGTGCATTAAATGCGAAGCGTCGTTTGTTCGTTCGTTTGTTTGTCGTTTGTTTTTTTTTTTTTGTTGTTGGTTTTTCGGTTACGTAAATTTTTAATGTGATTAAATTTTTTTGTTTTTTAAAAGTCGACAAGTCGAACATAAATATTCATTCGGTGGCGAAAAAACAAAAACAAAACAAAACAAAAACAAAATCGTAGGTTAATCACGCGTCGATAACGCAATTAATCGATTTTTTAATTATTTCAAAATCGTTCGATTCTCGAATCGAATTTCAGTAAATGCGAAATTGTAAGTAATTTTATTTCATTTTTTTTTGTAAAAAAACGCAATCGACAACCGGATTTTAAAAGTTTTATTATTATTATTATTATTATTATTTTAATTTTTCGGTCGTTGTTGTTGTTGTTGTTGTGTGCCTTTGTGTCCTTCACGGTTAATTGTCTTAAATGTTTTTCTTTTTTTTTTTTTTTTGTTTGTCGACTGGCTGTTAATGTCATTTATTTTTTTCAAAGTCGTTAAATACCACGCGTATTATTATTATTATCAATACGTTCGCGAGCCACGTTTTTATTTAAACGAGGTATATTAAACATTTTCTACGGATGATCGTGTAAGAAGAAGAAGAAGAAGGGAAAAAAAAACGTGGAAGGGAAGTGAAGGGTTTATCTTTTCAAAAGCAAATTTTTTTTTTTTTACGATTCGAATCGAGGAAAATTTTTTATCAGGTTTCCTTCGAAACTTGTGTCAGGCACAGAAATTTATTTTTAAAAAAAACTAATTTATTATTGTAATTGTTATTAAAAATAAACAAACCGTTTAAATTATTACTATTATTATTATTATTATTCATTACCGTTTGTCGCGAAACGATTGTCATTTAAATATGGGGGCTGGGGAGAAAAAGAAAGAGAGAGAGAAAAGGGAAAAAAAGGGAAAATCTCACGAAAGGTTTCGTGTTTTTTAAGGTTATTGTCGGAATTTTATTATTATTATTATTATTATTATTATCATCATTATTATTTATACAATATGATTCGTGCAGGTAAATTTATTGTTCTTTTTCCCGTTAGTTAGTTTTTTTTTTAAAAAAAATTTTCGTCCATTATAATTAGATTAACGACGACATATTTTTAATAAAATAAATAATAACCGTTTAATAAATAAATAAATAAATAATAATAATAATAATATTGAAAAGGCATCGTTAAACGTCGGTATAGTGGAAACAATAATAATAATAATTTTTTTTTTTTTTTACCTCCCCTAGAAATTTTCGTAGGGTAAATTTTTTTTAAAATTTTTTTCGACAAAAACGGATTAAGGGGTTTGAAAAGGTTTCGAATGAAGAGACAAATTTTTTTTTAAAAAAAAAGGTTGTAATAATGAAAAGGTTAGTTTAATGGTTCCAACGAAATTTAAAAATTAGATAAAAAAAAAAAAAATTTTAATTTGACCCACTTTTTTTTTTTGATTTTAAATAATTAGGCGCGTCTAAAAATTAATAAATAAATAAATGGACAAAAAAAAAAAAAAATTATGTAATAATAAGAATCGTGCAACTAAAAGAAAAATGGCACGCGAATTTTTTTTTTGCATGTCGCTCCCTCCCTCCCTCCCCCCCCGCCGTAATTTATTTATTCGTTTAAAATATTAATAAATAATAAATAAATTAAATAAATAATTATTAATAAATCAAACGAGTTTTAATTCTTACAACGCGAATTCGATCGGTATCGGTATCGAATAACAGGTTCCATGCCTAAATTACACAATTTGAAAAGTGTCAAAGGTCAGTTTTCAAACGAAAACATGCTTGCATACAAAAACAAAAAAAAAAAACGGATATGAAAAAAAAAAAAAAAAAAAAAAAACGCGCGAACAAATGAATTTATTTTTTTCCACGTGGCAAATTTTTAAAATTTGAGCCATTTTGAAAATTTAACGTTTTTTTTTTTTTTTTTTTTTTTTTTGCAATTTGCATTTTGCATTTGCGAACGTGATCGATATTGATTTGTAAGGGGGGAGTGAGAGAGAAAGAGAGAGAGAGAGAGAGAGAAAAAAATTGATGATTGATTTTAAATCGATTTGTAGCCACGTCGTCGTCATCGTCACGTCGTCGTCTTGTTGCCCCTACGAAGAAAAAAAGTTAAGAAAATCTAAATGCGACGTGGTTTTTTAAATGTTTTAAAACTATAAATCTTTTTTTAAAAAAAAAAAAAAGGCGTCAAAAAACAGAAAAAGAATTTTAAAAAATTTTTAAATAAAATGGTGGCTATTTTTTGGCTTGTGAAGAAAAACAAAATGAAAGAAAAAGAAAAAAAAAAAAAAATTTGCAAACGTTGAATGTTTTTTTTTTTCATTTATTCGTTTTATTTCCTCCTGGCTTATTTTCAAAATTTTTTTTTTTTTTTTTCTATTAAAAAAAAAAACTTTTGTTCTAAATTTTCACGAGCGGTCACCGTCGTTTCCGCTCTGAAAATATTTTACCGTCTTTCAAAATTAATAATAATAATAATAATAAGCCAACGGCCATAGCGTGCTGGTCACACCGGTTCCCGTACGATCACCGAAGTTAAGCAGCATCGGGCGTGGTGCAAACTTGGATGGGTGACCGTTTGAGAACGCCACGTGCTGTTGGCTTAAAAGAGCAAAAAAAAAAATGAGAACAAGACAAAGTAAGAACCAAAAAACAAATCTTGTTCTACTGTCGACCTGAGGCAGCTCGACGAGAATGTGAATTTCACTGCTTCTGACCCTGGCCACTCCAAAGATGTTAGTCACTGGAGCCCAGTTCAGGAGACAAATCGTTCCCATCGAAAAAAGACGGACTCAGGAAGACCTTCAAGAATTGATGTGGTGCTATCTTATAATAAGTGGCACCACCGAAATTCGAGTATTTGTCCCTAAGGAATCGGGTAGAAACCTCGGATAAATACTTAAAAACTCCGACAAGTAGCCTTGTCGTGTTTAATGGTGGATAATAATAATAATAATAGAATTCATTTGTCACTCTTAAATAAAACAGGACGACGACGAGAAAAAAAAAAAAAAAAAAAAAAAAAAAACATTCTCGTTTACCTATTTTATCATTTTCGTCTGCTAAAGTCGTAACGTTTTTTTCTTTTTTTTTTTTTCTCTTTTATTTATTTGGGGGGAAGGGGAATGTTGTTGTTGTTGTTGTTGTTGTTGTTACTGTCGTTTGTCGACAACCGATCGTTTTTTTTTCACAAAATTACAAAATCAATTTTTTATTTATTTATTTGTTTTGTCATATATCGATTGTAAGTTGTTGCATCGTCATTAATTTTTTCGTTTTGTTTTTGTTTTTGTTTTTCTTTTCCGACGTCGTCTGATAGGTCTGAACATTGATTTTTTTTTAAAAATAATATAAATTAGTAAATAAAATTAAACGTTTTCCTGCTGCTGTTGTGAGCGGAATGGGTTCGAGAAAGATGATGGGTCAATGAGCCTCGCGAGCTTTTCTCTTTTTTTTTTCTTTTTCGGCGATAATATTCGTAAAATGTCGTGTTTGTTGTAAAAGTTTTAGAATTAATAAATTAATTATAAATTGTCGGTTGTTTGTCTGCGTTTGTCGAGATTCTGGTTAAAAGAAAAAAAAAAAAAAAAAATTTCAAATTAAAAACTACCAACTACTTGTTTTGTCTAGAACGTTAAACGTTCTTGTAATCAGGGTGACGAGATTCGGGTTGCATTTTACATTTCAACGATTATTTCATCATTATTATATTATTATTATTATTATTATATTATTATATTATATATATATATATATTTCGTGCTTTTTCCCCACAATAAAAACTTTTTCAAATATGGAGTCGAGTCGTCCGTTTGATGCTTACAATAATTTGATCTCGGTTTAAAATATTATCATCATCATCTCCCGAAACGAGTTTTGTACCTAATTTATGTCGCTCCCCCCGCCCCCACGTGTCCCCCCCCTCGTGTAATGATGACCATCGTGATGACGTTTTTGTAATGTCAAGTCAATGGAGTCGTGTTCAAAAATATTATAAAATTTTATTTTTTTATTTTCAGAGAATGTCATGATTTGGATGAAAAGTTCCAAAGTAAAGTAATTTTTTTTTTTTTTTTTTTTTTTCGGGGGAAAAAAAAAAAGAAAATTGCGCTTTTCTTTCGAACTTGTAATCAGTATTTAATTTTTGAAAAAAAAAAAAAAAAAAAAAAAAATCAAAAAGGAAAAAAAAAGAAAAACGAGTACTTAATACGAAGAAGTATTAGAGGAAAAGTAACGGAAATCGTGGAAGAAAAAAAGAGTTTGACGGTTAATTTCGCAAGTTAAATCAACGTAAATATAATTATTATTATTATTATTATTATTATCATTATCATTATTATTTTCCTGTCGGTAAATTACCGGAAACGTTTGGTTATTTATTTATTCTCATTAAAATTTTTTTTTTTTGTTTTTCCGTTTAGGTGTGTGATGATGAATTTGTTTTTTAAGCAGTGATCTTCTTCCCCCCTCCTCTCTCTTTCTCATCTCATCTCGGGATCGTATTCGATTTACAAAAGCAGAAGAAAAATCATCGGACGCAATGTGCAGCACGACGACCATACACGACGGATTTCGAACAATGAACAAAATAAACGAAAAAGGAAATTCTCACAGGGTTTATAAGTTGGTTTTGACGGGGGGTCCGTGCGGTGGAAAGACAACGGGTCAATCGAGGCTATCGACATTTTTCGAAAATCTCGGATGGAAAGTTTTCCGGGTTCCGGAAACGGCGACCGTCCTCCTGAGCGGTGGAATCAAATTTTCCGATTTGTCACCGGAAGAAACGGTTAAATTTCAAGAGAATTTACTCAAGACGATACTTCAAATAGAGAACACTTTTTTCACGTTGGGTAACATTCGTATTTATTATTATTATTATTATTATTATTGAAAATCGATCGATCGATCGATCCATTAATTAAATTTTCTATTTTCCAAACAGCCGAAACTTGTACTCAAGATTGTCTCATTATCTGTGATAGAGGTGCCATGGATGCTTCCGCATATCTTTTAAACGAAAAATGGGAACACATAATAAAAACGAATAATTGGAACAACGTCGAACTTCGCGACAACAGATACAATCAAATAATTCACATGGTAAAATTATTATTATTATTATTATTATTATTTCTAATCTGCCTGCGTGACGCGACGAAATCAATTTGTTATATAGTAAAATTGCTGACACGTTCGTTAATTTAATTCCCTTAAGCCTTCCCTAAAAAAAAAAATGAAGGGAGCTCATTGTTGAAATAAACACATAAAATGTATTGAAAGAATGTGCTGAGACATCCGTTCCGGAACCGTTCCTGAGTTCCCCCCCCCCTCTCTCTCTCTCTCCCTTCCTCCCTCAATTAAATGTCGCGTTATTTTCATTCATTCGAAAAAGAATCATTGGGATTTTAGTATTATTATTATTATTGATTTTTCAGATGTCGGCTGCCGTCGGAGCGGAAGAATTTTATTCGACGGAAGATCATGCATGCCGAAGCGAGGGAGTTCAATTGGCGCGAGAAATCGATTACAAATCCGCAGCATCCTGGGTGGGTCACCCGTATTTCGACGTCATTGACAATTCTACGGATTTCGAGACGAAAATGAAAAGGATGATAGATGCCGTGTGTCAAAAATTGGGGGTCAACACGGGGGATCGACTTTTGAAAAATTCTAAAAAGCATAAGTTTCTCGTGAGAGGACCCCTTCCGCCGGACGATCAATTTCCACCATTTCAAGATTTCGACGTCGTTCATAATTATTTGCAGAGCAGTAGTCCCAACGTGCAAGCGAGACTGAGAAAAAGAGGACAGAAGGGACATTGGATGTACATACACACATTGCGTAAACCAAAGATAAAAGATCAGGTAGGTTACCGAGAGGGTTGGTTAAATACGGGGGACCGCCATCTTTACAAGAAGTTCTAACAAAATTTTTTTTCTATTGACAGACCATCGAAGTGAGAACTCAGTTGAGCGTTCGGGATTATTTGAACATATTGCAACAGAGAGATCACAGTCATTTCACCGTTTATAAAAAAAGGCGGTGCTTTTTAATCAACAATCAGTATTTTCAATTGGATATTTATAAAAAACCCGGTCACCCTCGTTGCCGCGGATTGTTACTTTTGGAAACGTATTCGACTTTGGACGATTCGGAATTGGTTAAAAGGTTGCCAAATTTTTTAGACATCGCCGAAGAAGTTACCGGTAATCCGAAATATTCAATGTTCAATTTATCCCTAATAGAAGATTGGGATTCGACCAATCAATTTTGCTACCAGTTCACGGAGAAAAAAGTCAACGGTTTCAATCACGAGGAATTGAAAAATTCTTCTTTGATCGCGGAAAAGAAAAATTAATCAATTTTTTTTTTTTTTTTTTTTTTTTTTTGTCATCATCATCCCCCTCATTCTTTTACCCCTTCTTTCACTCTCCCGCGAATGCAAACAAAAAAAAAAAAAAGAAAAATTGTTTACCTTTTAATTTTAAATTTGTTTTTTTCCCTCGCAAAATCATCGCGGAAATAAAATTTAATCAATTGTTATATTGCGCCTATGTTTAACGCGTTTGTAAACAAAAAACAAAAGAGAGAATTGTCTTTTTTTTTTTTTTTGTTTTTCATAAGTTGGACAACTTGGAACGATTAGTTCACAATTAATTTCAAACCGTAACGGAAAAGGAACGCGAGTATAATGTCAAGTGTTTTGTTAATTAATTAATTAATTAAAAATGGTGTAATGAAATAATTTTTCACGTGTTATCATGCGTGCGTGCGTGTGTAACACACACGCACACACATCGTAACGTTTTTTACGCGTCAAAAGGTAATATTAATAATGATAAATATATATATTTTTTATATGTCTCCGTATAATGAATTTAAGAGAATCATACGAAATAACGTTTTTTTCGTTTTTTTGTTGTTTTTAACGATTATACAATAATAATATTTATATCATATATAAAAATATAAATCGGTAGAGTTTTTTTTTAAATATTTTATTTATATATATATGCATATTTATTTTTGTAAGAACGAAATCATTTGTCGAATATCGAAGAAACGTGGACGCCATGTTTTTTTTTTTTTTAATTAATATTCATATTTATCTGGTGGTTAGGTTACGTCAAACGAATTTAAAAAATTCGAAAATAAATGGGGGGTAGGAAAAAGAACAAAAAATGGCAAATTTTTTTATTATATTATTTATTATTTAATCAATTATTATTATTATTATTATCATTACACATTGTTAATTTATGATGTATCATTAATACATGAATACGTTTATTATAAAAAATTTTTGTATTATTATTAGTATTATATATAAATAAATCGAAAGGGTATTATTATTATTATTTAAAAGAAAATCATGAGTTATTTAATTTAATAATTAGTTTTATTATTGTATTATTATTATTATTATTATTTATAATAGTTATAAGAAAAATTAAGAGATGAGAAGAGTGTGTGGTGTGTGTTGCAATTGTAAATTGCACTCGATTTTATATTATAATTATTTTTTTTTCTTTATTTTTTTTGTTAAATTTTTTATTATTATTATTATTATTATGAAAATAACGAATCAAATAAAATATACATAATTGTTATTAAAAAAAAAAAAAAAAAAAAAAATTGTAATTTTTAATCATTTAATGAGTTAAAATAAGAAAATACAATAAATAAATAAAATAAATATTATGAGAAAAAAAAAATTTAGTAGGAAATAATAAATAAAATAAAAATTAGTAGTTATTAGTAAAACTATAATAATAATAATAATAATAGGATTTCTTTTTAGATTTTCATGCTCATAAATTTAAGTAGTAGAGTCTCGATATTAATTAAATTAGTTTAAAAAAAAACATTTTTTTTTTTTACATTGTATTTTAATGTAGAGGAAAAAAAAGTAGTTATTATTATTATTACTATATATTTTTTTAAATAGTAGTTATTATTATTATAATATATACTTTAAATAGTAGTTATTATTAGTTATCATCATCATCATTTATTTGATTTCAATTTTTTTGATTTAGTTTTACACAATCATACATGCCTTATTGTATTATTATTATTATTATTATTATTATTATTATTATTTACTTACATAAATTGTAATCAAAGTTATTAATTTAAAAAGAAAAGAATTAAAGAAAAGTTATTTAGTATTATTATTTTTTTAGTTTGTTTTAAAATTAATAATAATATATATATATATATATAAATATAGTTTATTTTAATCACATTTTATTAATTTTTTTTAATTTTGTAATGTTGGCAATTTTTTATTTAAATAATATTTATTTAATTTATTTAGTTTGACACAACGCACACGTAATTGTCAATAAAAAAATTAATATTATTATTAATATTACATACCACGTAATGATTTGTATGATGATGACGTCACACGTAGTAGTATTTATCGAAATTGAATTTGATACGAATCGATATATCGATCGTGATGTTGAATCAAATAAGATAATAAGACGTGAAAATTGATGATGAAAAAATTGAAATTCTTTCGGTGTTATTTATTGATTGTTTAAATCGATACCGATTTAACAACCAAAATGGGAACAACAAGTTTTATCGATTACAACAATCGATACACACTTACAGCTGATGAAAGAGAACCACGTGGTTTTACATCTCTACGTTATTGTGCACTCATCTCTCTCTCTCTCTCACTCACTCTCATCATCATCATCATCGTCGTCGTGTTGCAAGGACGTTAATATTTTTCTTTTACTTTTTTATATTTAATTTTAAGGTTTTTAAGAAACATTATTATTATTATTATTATTATTATTATTATTATTATTATTATTATTATAATTAATCGATTGTTTTTAATGATTCATATGAATCCAGCAGGTGATGTAAAAAGTTTGACTTTAAATGATGCAGATGACTCAATGTAATCAAATAGGGGAATGAAAAGTTTATTGTTGTTAGTGAAAACCCCAACAACAACAACAACAACCTCCCTTGTTTGTTTGTTTGTTTGTTTTAACAATTTTTAAATAATTTTTATCCTATTAGATTATTTTGTTATATGAAAATGAAAAAAAAATTTTTGACTTACACCAAAGATTTTTTTTACCATTTCTCTTCTGCTTGCAATGTTGTTGTTGTTGTTGTTGTTGTTTACATCTTTATAAATTTAATTTGTTGAATTTTATTAACTATAAAATAAATGGGAAATAAAAGTGTTACGTCACACACACTCCATGATACTAAATAATGTTTTTGAGGTTTTATTTTCAAATAATTTATAAATTTTCTAGAACATGTACATCATCTTGTTGAATTTATTTGAAATCATACCACGTGATATTATTTTTTTATATGTCTTTATAAATCAAACAAAAACAAAAAAATTGAGTTTTCATTTTAAAATGGAGATTTAAAAACAAGTTTTTTTGATTTTACTTTGTTTCTTTTTACAAATTGCAATATGTCACGTTATAATATCATCATTATATTATTATTTCCTGTCGTTATCGATTTTAATGATAACATTTGTATCATTCTTAAATAATATAAGATTTAATAACCAAATAAAAAAAAAAGAAATTGTTTACGTCATGATAAATGTATTATTTTCATAAATAACGGTTTTTTTTCCCCAACTAATTGTTGTTGGTGTTGGGAGGTGTATATGTATATGTAAAACTTAATAATTACAGTTGTATCATAAGTTAATAATAATAATAATAATAAAGGGAGATTAGATAAAATGTATTAAGCATTCAAAGGAATTAAATTTCAGTTAGGATATCATTGTAATAATATGGAAAATCATTAAAAATTAAAAAACGAAAAACGTGATAATTTGGAAAATGGAAGAGAGAGAGATAGATAGATAGAAGAAAAGAAAATAAATGAAAATCAAAGAGCAGGTGGAATAGAATGGAAAGGCAAACAACACAGACAGGAAGGTTTTCAAAAAAAAAAAAAAAGAAAAAGAAAAACGGTGACGTGTGACTTTGTCGACATTGCGCATGTGCGACACCGGCGATCGATATTACTAAGAACGTGTCCATAAACAATTCAAAATATTATTATCAAGTTATTCTATTTTTTTTTTTTTTTTTTTTTTTTTTTTTTAAAAAGTTTTTCCTTTCATTTTTTTTTTCTGTTCAGTATTTCATCCCCGTTTTATTATTTTATTTTTTTTACTTTTGTTTGAACTTTAATTTTGATTTTTCGGTACGAATACAATACGTGCTACTACTACGTGTGTGTGCGTGTGTGTATTTAATCGTTGTGAATCGCGTATATATATATATATATGGATAACGAAAAAAACAATTATACAGGTAAAATAATAATAACTTTTTACTTTTAATAATTATTATTATTATTAATCTTGTGTCACGCACTTTTATTATTATTATTATTAATCGTGTGCGTGAGTGTGTTACGCACACAAAACTTTTTAAATTTATTATTATTTTTTAATAAATTTTTAACGTTTTTTTATATGTCTACGTCAGTCACGTTGGATTTGAAATTTTATTTATTTATTTATTAATTAATAGATTAAAATTATTGTTTATTATTATTATTATTATTATTATTATTGTCGGTTATCATATTCATTAACAAAAAACTTATTAACAAATTATGTATTATTGTTTGTTTGTTTGTTGTTTTCATATATGTATGTGTAAAATTTTTTCCCAAGTTCAGTAAAACAAACATGAAAGTGAAAAAAAAAAGTTTTAAACAAATTTATTGATAACATTATCATCATTATTAATTTATGTTTAATAGAATTATTAATTAAGATTAATAAAACTTATGTAAATTAAAAAACGTTGATTAATATTTTACTGAACTTGAAATTTTTAATTTAAGCTTTTCTTTTATATATATTGATTTTATTATTATTATTATTGAAAAGATTAATACATAAATTTTTTTTTAAGGGGAGAGAGGAAGGGGGAGGTGTAAGGAAGGGGGAGGGAGGAGGTGTTGGATGTTTTCAATTGTTTAATAATATTAAAATTTTTATTTATTTAAAATAAAACTGAGGATAAAAATAAAATAATATTGTTGTTTTTTATACATAAACAAAAAAAAAACATGCAATTGTAAAAATCAGGAGGGGAAAGTAGAGAGGGAGGAAGGGGGATGTTTTTAAAGGTACGTTTAATAATAAGGTCAAAGGTTAAAATTAAAAAAAAAAATAATTAATTAATTAATTGTTAATAATAATTGTTATGAAAATAATTTTTTTCAAATGATTTGATTATTATTTATTAAATAATATGACATAATATGACGAGGGAGGGGAGAGTGTTTGTGGGAAAAAGGGGGATGAAGTTTAATAAAATCGTTTTGGACTTTTTATGTCAAAGCAAGAGGGGGGGAGTAAGGGGGGAAGGGATAGAGAAGAAAAAGGTTGTTTTCCCATTGAAATTTTACATGAATACGACAAAAAAAATGTCGGTGATGGTCGTGGTGGTCGCGGTGGTGGTGGTGGTGGTGTCGGTGTCGGTTTTTACTCACTACTAAAGGGTAGTCATCAGACTGTTAGATATGCACATGCGTCTAGCCTTTTGTATTTTGAGAAAGAAAAAGTTTTACCGATCGATAAATATACTCTCCCCCGTGTTAAAATATATTTTTTTTTTTTTCCCCCTAACTTAACTTCATTTCAATTCATTTACCCTCGTTAAAGTTCTTTATATGTATGCATTTTTTTTAATAATAGGTAAAAATGGTAAATGATTTTGTTTAGGGGTAGGGAGGGAGGGAGGAGGAGAGGGTACTAGGGACAAAAAGAAAATTTGGGACAGATGGGGAGGGGGAGGGAAAAGAAAATTATTTGTGTTTAATTGTGTTTATTATTTATTAAGATTTGTTTTTGTTTCCCCCTCCTCTCCCCCGAATATTATTCGAAACATGAAAATTTAATTAAATATTTAATACAATAATAATAATAATAATAATAATAATAATAATAATAATTATAGTTATTAACGTCGTCGTCGATAAAAGGAAAATTTAGAAAAGAAAAAAAATTTTTTTTTTTTTTTTGTTGACATTTATAAATAAATTGAAAAAAAATTTATTTTTAAGGTTTTTTTTTTAAACTTTAAAATTTTTTTTTTGTTTTCGTGATGACCTTTTGTACCCTTTAAAAAAAAAACGTGGCAGTAGAATTTATTCATTTTTTTTCCCATGTTTTCAAAATTTCACTTTTACAGATTTTTATTATTTTGAATAATTATTTGTTCAAATATAAATGATTTTTTTATTTATTTTAAGGCAAAAAAAAAATTAAACAATTTTATTAAATTATTAATAATAAATACGACGACGACGACGACGGCGGCCATTTTTAATTTGACACAAATCTTATTAATAATTTTTTTTTACATTTAAATCGTATTAATAATTTTTGTTTTTTATTTGTTTGATTTCAGATTTTCCGGTAAATTGGACAATCATCATAATACAATCAAAAAACGTTTAAATATTTAATTATTTATTATTTACTTCCGGTTATTCGATATTTAAAAAAAAAATGAAACGGCCAAAAATGATCGTTAAATCCGTTAGAGAACAAAAAACTAGAAAAAAATTTATTTTGATAAAAAAATGAAAAAAAAAAATTATTTATCATTATTATTATTATTATTTCGTTTAGTTTATTATTATTATTATTATTAATCTCGAATGCCTTATTTTGTTGTGATTTATTCTAAATTTAATTCTTCGGTCGATACAAAAAAAAAAAAATTTTAAATTAAAAAAAAAAAAATAAAAGGAACACAATGGCTTTCGAATGAAGAAAGAAAACGTTAAATTTTTAAACCGGAACTCAAAACGACACCTAGCGAAGAAAAAATGAACTAAAAAGGAATGATAATAGGTAAGCAGTTTAATTTATTTATTTTATTTTTTAACCGTTAGATGTTAGTTTTTGTTTTTTAATTTAATTTTACTCGTAAAAACGTTTTGACTCCCTTTCACCCGCCCCGCCCCCCCCAATAAATTGTTTCGAATTTTCTTTTTAGTCGTAAAAATTATTAATCTGTTTTTTTATTATTATTATCACGATATGTAAATCAATGAGGAAATTAAACTAATATTGAATCGTTACATTCGTTTCCCCGCCCCCCCCCCCCCAATATAAAAAAAAAAAATTAATTAACTATTAAAAGAGTAATTAATGTTTTAAAAAAAAAAAAACAATTACACGCAACTCATTAATTAATTATTATTATTATTCTTTTTTATCATTAAAGTACGTGTCACGCTAACGAATAAGGTTAAATAAATCGATGACACGAAAATAATAAACGTTTTTATATATATATATAGATTATTAATATTTAAAATTATATTTATTTCCACGTGATAATTAACGATTATTGATTGATTGATTGATTGATTGATTGATTGATAATCGATAATTTTTTTTTTATATTAAAAATACGATTCGAGATTTGCATGAATTAAAAATGTCTTGATCGTTACCCTTTATTTTTTTTTTTTTTTTTTTTTTTAAATTAGAAGAATGTGTTGACGAAAAAAAAAAATTTAAATTTAAATTTAAATTTTTGAACAAAAAAAATGACGTATAAAAAAAGAAAGAAATAATAATAATAACAATCGGGAAATTTTAAATGTATATGTATTTAAAGTGCGGGAAATTCAATTGTAAAATGAAAATATAAATAAATAATAATAATAATAATTCGATGTTAAAGTTTGGAACACGATGGTGTAAGTTCGGATTTATATAATTATAAGTAAAAAGCGAATGGAAAAAAAAAAAAAAAAATTATTTAAATAATGTAATAATAATAATAATAATACGAAATGAAAAAGAAAATTCATTTTACGTTGGAAAAAGTTTGATGCGTTTGTATGGAAAACATGGGCGAACTAGTTGAACAACGTGATCTGGAAGAACCGATACCCATGGAAGGCGTTGATTCGCCAGTACGTAACGCGCAAGTCTCGGAACGCCGCGAACGGATTTCACCGGAGCACGCGGTTATTGTTTCGGTTCGTAGCGAACGTCCTTCGTGTAAAGACGAGGATCAAGAAGTATTATCGGTAATTGTATCACCGCGAGCTGATTCGAGAGATTCCGAGCTTTTATCGCCGACTTCAGCCAGCATGATTGACGCATCCGAATTTCGAATGCAACCTGAGCCGACCTACCAAACTCTTACGAGCATGGTAGATCGCGGAATATCTCCGGCAGGTCTCTCACCGAATTCTTCTTACGCAACTTTAACTCCTCTTCAACCCTTACCTCCGATATCCACGGTATCCGATAAATTTGCTTACGGTCATGCTGGTAGCGTGTCTGGATCGTTCACGGTCATGCAGAATAATTTAGGTTTGGGATACGGATACGATAAAATGGGGGTTTCGTCACATTATTCTACTCCGGCATTAGGTTTGGGCATTCCCCATTCACCTCTTTCTCCCCAAAGTCCCTACAGTCAGGGCATTCAATCACCGCAAAAAAGCATGTCTCCGACAGGTTACGAATCTCCCAATTATCATAGATCTATGGCGGGACCTCAAAGTCCCGCTTTGAGCCCTCCTTCTGCTTCTTTACATTCTCCCGTTAATTCAACCATACACTTCGGAGGTGGTGCTCCGCCTAACCTGAACGGAATTTCGGCAATGACTCCTCACAGCACTCCGATATCTCCTCAGCATTCTCCCAATATGGGAGTTCAAAGAGAATTGGTTGAATCTCCTTCGCCGCCCACGGTAATACACAGACCTCCCAGTCAGGGCAAACCTATTCAAAACGAAATGGCCGTGAACGTTGTCCTCAACACTCCGACGACATCGGAGGTCGAGGAAATAAACACAAAAGAGCTCGCTCAAAGAATTAGCGCCGAGCTTAAAAGATACAGCATACCCCAAGCTATTTTTGCTCAAAGAGTGTTGTGTCGGTCACAGGGGACTTTATCGGATTTGTTACGGAATCCAAAACCTTGGTCTAAGCTCAAAAGCGGTCGGGAAACTTTTCGAAGAATGTGGAAATGGCTTCAAGAGCCGGAGTTCCAAAGGATGTCTGCGCTGCGGCTGGCCGGTGAGTTTATTTTTTAAATAGTTTTAAAATTTTTTTACACTTCTTTCTCTGTCCTGTAGGCATTTGTTCACCTTTTACTTTTTGCAAGATGAATTTTTTTTTATTTTTTTATTTTTTCACACACACGATCCTTTCAACCGCATCCTAACGTGTCCTACGAATTGTCTTTGAATCATAAACAAAAAAAAGTATTCTAAATACACGATAAGTGATAAAAAATCATAATTTTATAACCGGAAATCAGGGATTTCAAATGTCGAAATAATAAGAAAAAAATTAACAGACAAAGCAGAAGCCATTTTATTTAAATATCATAAACAAATGAAAATTTATTTAAACAATTAATTAATTAATAACACCCGAAAAAAAAAATTTTTTTTTTTTTTAAATAACTGTAAATTACTTTTTTTATTTTCTCAGGTATGTCTTGTGGCTTTCTTTTTAAGTAAGAAAATCATCCGCCCTTTTTGGAATCATTGAGGTAACTACAGTAATACTGTTGTAATTGTAAAAAATGGTTCGATGATAAAAAAAAAAATTAAACGGAGAGAATAATAATAATAAACATCACTTTGTCGAAATGGCTCGCTTTCGGAAAATGGAAATCTTAAAGGAAAAAGGAAATCTTATTATTTACGTAAGAAAAAAATAAAATGAAGAAAAAAAAAACAAAGGAAAGGATAGCAATTAAATGAAAACATGGAAGAGCTCAGCTGCAGAAAATATAGTTTGAGAAACGAGTTAACTGACAGAAAGAAATTGGCAGTCTGGCAGCAATCACAACAACAACAGCAACAGCACTTTGGCAGCAATTTATCACGGACTCCTTTAAAATGTTTCCTCAACAACAACAACAACAACCGTTCACAAGGGGGCAAACTCAATTTTCATTTAAGACTTTATCAATTTGATTAATATCAATTAAATTTTTTTGACGTGTCAATAAGTATAATCGATGACACGTCACGTCGTCGTGGAAAATATTTTAAACACGGATAAAATTTACACAAAGGAAAAAATTTATCATTATTATTATTTAAAAAATATTTATATAAAAAAGTTACCCGAGTTTGGATGGTTATAACCCTTTTGGTGAAATGGGTAGTTGTGAAGTGGGGGGAAGAGAGGGAGAGAGAGAAAAAAATCACGGAATGGCATGATAAAACCATGATTTCATCCCTCTACCGTCACCCCCTCCCCCTCCCCCACTCTTCAAACCACTTCGTTAAAATTCTAAGCAAAAATAAACGTACAAAGGCCGGAAAATGGAATGCAGAGAATTTTTTTCCAGGAGGAGAGTTAACTGTTCCCGTTATAACTTTAATAAAAACTACAAACGACGAGCGCCGGTTCACCTGGATAACCTATTGGAAACTCGTGGAGGCCTTTTTTAAAGATCATATCACGGTCGGTTATTTATTTAATAAAAGGTGATGGATAATCTTAATTAAAAGGGGGGATTATAAAATTATTATTATTATTAAACAATTAGAAATAAATTTGTCGTAGAGGTCAAGTAATAAAAGGGTTTTCCACCCTATAAGAGATTATTATTATTATTAAAAAAAAGATGGAAAACCCTTAGCAAAAGGCCTCGCGCCCCCCCGCCTCCCCCCACAACATTGACGGAATATGATTGACAGTAGATAAAAATTAATTAGCTGAGTCTCTCTCTCTTTCTGATCCTACCTGCCGCAAGAGCCGCAGAAACTCCAAATATTTTAATATCAAACAATGAAAATCTCATCCTTTGTAATGCACCCCCCTCCCCCCATATTCTCAGCCGCCGCCGCCGCTTCAACCCTTCAGACGTTTTTCTACCCCTATTTTTAACCCTCGGCTCATCATCTCTCTCTCTCTCTCTTTTTTTTGTTTTTTTTTTTTTTTTACTTTTCAATATTCCAACCTTCAATCCTTCTTCACATACTTCCTTTTCTTCAATTTTTTTTTTTCTGCTTTGTTTTCATCTTATTAATTTTTTTTTTTAAAAAAGTAATTTCATAAGTAAAAGAGAGAGAGAGAGAGAGGGGGGGGGGTTATGAAATAAAATTAAAAAAAAAAAGAGAGAGAAAATATTTTTTTTTTGTACGAAACGTTACCTCACCTGAATTTTCTCATATTAAAAAATCTTTTCGTTCTTTTTGACCCTCGTTACCCCCCCCCTCCCTTATTGATGGGGGGCATCAAATCGCGAGTCTTATACGACTGCATTCGATTTTATTAGGATTATATATCGCACAACGAAAGAGAGAGAGAGAGAGAGAAAATTTAAAATTTAAATTATTATTAACAAAATATTATTATTATTAAATGACGTATATAAAAAAAAAGTTCCGATAGACGCCATATTGAAATTAAAACAATTAATTTAATAAAAAAAAAATCACCCCCGGGGTGGAGGAGGCGAGGGATGAGATAAATAAATAATCGTGAAAAAAAAGAAGAAGAAGAAGGTATTTTAAAGAAAAATTGATTTTTTAAGATAGAACGTAACAATGATGATGATGATGATGGAAAATCCACCGGAGGATGGAGGGTTGGGGGGTTGAGGGGGGAAAAGTGGGAAAGGAAAACGATGACGATTATTACGATCCAAGAAATTAACTCGAAAAAGTGAAAAATGCAAATTTTTGAAAGATGTTGGAAATAACAAAGTCAAACAATTGCTCTTCGGTTTAATCGAATTACCAAGTGACACAAAAAAAAAGGAAAGAAGGAGAAGAAAGGAAAAACCTGGAGTATGAGAAAAGAAAAGAAAAGAAAAAAGATGAAGAAGAAATTTAAAAAAAAAACGATTCGAAAGAAGGGAAAAATAAAGAAAGAAAGAAAGAGAGAGAAGAAAATAAAAAGACACAATGAAGTGGTTGGGGGAGATGAAAGTCGTGGTGGTGGTGGTGGTGAAAAAAGCAGAAGACAAAAATGAAAGAGAGAGAGAGAGAGAGAGAGAGAGAGTAATCGAGAGGGCAGACACACTTTTTCTTATTTATTTATTTATTTATTTTTTCCCGAAAAAAAAGAAGAAAAGATGAAAAACAACTTTGTTCTTTTTAATGTTAAATTTTAATAATATTGAAAAAGGGGTTTTTTTTTTCAACCCCTTGGTACAAGAAAAAACATAGATAAAGGGTAGTTTTGTCAACTTTTTTTTTTCCCTTCTGACGTCAGACTTGTGGTGTGTGTGTGTGGTACGTCATCGTCATCGTGACAACAACAACAACAACAACAAAAAAGCGAGCCATTACGACAATAAGTGATTAGTGACGTCATCGTAACCGATTTTTTTTTTTTACAAACAATATAAAAAATTAATTAATAATAATGATAATAAGAAGGAACAGGTATAGAAAATAATGACGTAATCACATTCTCGAAATGATTTTTTTTTTATTTAAAAAGAAAGCACAGGAAAAAAGACAAAGGAAAAGGAAGGGACAGGGAAAAAAGGAAAAATTTAATTAAATTGTTTTTCTTATTGACTCCCTCCCCCTTCCCTCCTCCCTCCCCCCTCAACGTTTTCGTTTTTAAATGAAAAAAAAATAATGATAATAATAATAATACTAAAACAAAACGAATCGAGGGTTATTTAAAAAAAAAAAAATTTTTTTTGTTTATGCAAATAAATTTTCATTTTAATTTATTTTTACAGAATATCAAAAAATATTTTTAAACAGTTGTCGTAATGATAATAATAATAATAATAATTAAATTTCGGGTAGGAAAATTTTAAAAAATGGCGGAAAAATTCTACGAAATTTTCCTGTTTTGTTTAAACTCATTCTTATAGTTTTCCGCAAATGGTTTTTTTATTAAACTATTTCCGGTTGTAACATCCCTCTTATGACACTTAAATTTCACCCTTATGGCGCGCATAATATATATATATCGAATGTAAAAAAAAAAATTTAAGATGATATTTTGCCCTGTTGCCAAATGGTTAAAGAAGGACATTATGTAAATTTGTAGTCAATCAAAAAAAAAAAAAAGGGACTACTCTTCCCGAAAAAAAATAGGGATGTGTTCCCCTTTTTTATTGTTTTGTAAAAACGTTTTGTTATTTCTTCTAAAGTTGATAGATTCGTATCAAAAAATCATTTTTTTCTCTCCCCCTACCCCCAAACCCCCTTCCTGCCATTTTAATAAAAATTATGATTAACGGTAAAAAAAAAAAATTATGACGTCATTAGTTAAATTTTCCGAAACGAATTGATCGAAGGATTATTATCGTATAAATATATATTTAAAAATTATTATTATTATTATTTATTTCCGACGCCATTTTTGTTGTTTTTAATTTCAGGTTTTTTAAGTTTTTTTTTTTTTTTCATTGTTTAAAAAATTCGATATGTTTTAAAAGTTCTAGAACATTTTTGTACAAACCACAGAAAAAAAAAAATCGATATAAAAAATTAATTTTAACCGGAAGAATATATATATATAAATTTTTTTTTTTTTAATTTAAAAAGAAAATAAATAAAAAAAAATTTTTTTCTTTAATATACAAAAGGAAAAAAGGAAAAAAGGAAGGAAAAAAAAGGAAAAAAATTTTTTTTTTTTCGTTCCAGTTAAAAAAAAAAAAAAAAAACGGCGCCTGCGAAATGGAAAACTCTTTCGTGAAAGGCTTGAAACTGGAATTTAATCAATTTGGAAAAATACTCTATTGGCCTGGGCGTGTTTTCCCAGATTAATGGGAGGAGTTTTTAGGCGTGGCAATAGAATATTTTTCCAAAAAAAAAAAAAAACCTTGTTTTTATTTTTATTTTTTTCTCCAGAAATATTTTAATATAAAATAATTAAAAAAAAATTTTTTTTTTTTAACTGGAATACAAATAAACAAACGAAAAAAATTTTCACATTTAATTTCCCCCGCCCCCCACCCACGTGATTTATATAATTAAAAAATTAATTATTATTATCATTATTTATAAAATAAGGTTTAAAAACAAAATGGCTTCTGTCTTTTATTCGCGAATGTTTTTTTTTTTTTATTTAAAAACGTTTTC